TTATTATTAAAAGTCATACAACAAATCTGGCCAGGAATGAATTGAAAACACAAGGAGTAAGGAATAATATTTAAATGTCCAAATTCCAGGGTATGGCACCAAGTTTATACTGGCCCCGTCTAGTTGGCATTTAGGATGACAGAACAAATGGGAGGCAAGACTTCTGCTTTCTGATGGACACCGTCTCCGCAGCCCCGGCCCATCCATCTCCCCTCTTGTTCTTGCCAGTCTTGGGATACCAAATCTGGCTCCTTACGGTTGCTGCCTGGTCACGTCCTTTCTGCGTCTTTGGATTGAGACCAAAGCCTGGAGCTTTGCTCAGTCGGACTTTCACTTCAAGAACATTGAGTTTGTCTTTCTTGGTGCCACTGCAACATGGTGTGATACATTTTGGTGAATAGTATCTTTCTGCCTGGAAGTTTGACAGGAGGCAGGGGAGGGCGGGGGGCTTCTCTGCTCTCTTCTCTATCGGTCATGGTCAGAAGTTGGAGAATTTGAAGTCCAGTTTGTTGTATCCCAGCAACCCTGAGGATTGTTATGGCTTTCCTTGGGGTCAATAAGAAGTTGTAAGGGATCCTGTTAGCTCACTGGTCTGGAGGGGCATGTAATTCTTTCTGCTTAGGATAGGGGGACTCTATGCAAATGGACAGTCTACAACCTGCTAGAGGAAGGTCTAGCCTACTAGGCCTCCTTGGCTTTGATGCCCCTAAACTGTGTCTTTTGATGCATTTTATTTGACAGGCAGTTTGTCAGTAATCTGGAAAGCGATAAGTGGTGGATGGAGGTGGATTTTTTTTCTTATGCCTCTTTCCCCCCTTTTTAAATTTTTATGTTTTTATGAATGCAGGAGAGTATATACAGCAAGAGGCCCGACTTCCCTGATCAAGGGGGCAGCGTTTTCCTCTCAATTATGTGTCTTTGTGGCAGAGCCTTTGCTTTTGAAGTGTAATCACAGTAAAATCTACTCCTGTGGTTTCCCATTGAAAGGATTTCCTCTCCATCATTCCCAGAGTGGAATCTCTGGCTCTTTGCAGCCAGAATTTGGTGTTTCCCATCCCCTGCCTCTTTCTTGGTGTCTGCAGACTGCTGATACTGGCTTTTCTGTCTTGCATGTAGTAGGGATTTTTCTGGCCTGAGATTGCTCTTTTCCAGTAAAACTGATTAGTGATGATTTAAAGCCCCTTTTCTGTTATGAGAGATTGGAAGATGGCATTTCATCTATAACTGCAAATCACAAATCTTTCACAATGGTTTTAAATGTCACAAGTATGAGTTAGGTCCCGACTTACCTCCCCTTTTGATATGAGCAAATGTTTAACTTGGACATGAGATCGGAGTAATCAGATTGTTTGAACTGAATATATTTTAGTTTGCTAAACTGAATATTCTGTTGATTAGAACTCTTTGGTGAAGAGAGGAGGTCAGAAGTCTGATGTCCAGGAAAGGGAAATGTCTTAGTTTTATTTTTAGAATAAGAATTTCTTTGATTTGCATTTATTTTTGGACTGCAAAGATTTCCTAAAGTTGATGGAGAGATCCTTGAAATGCTTATTAACTAGCCTCTGCTAAGTAGGTGTCCTCCATTGGGGGTGCAGGACCCTAGATATGAGGGAGGAAAAGGTAACTAACTGGCCTTTAGCCTTTTGTTTTTAAGGAGTGGGTTTGGGGATGCCTTTGCAATTTTGAAGACCTCTCTGGTGTAGGATGGCGCGTAAGATTCTTCTCAGAAGTATGCTTGTTTCCCCTTAGCTGTTTGTTCTACCCTGCCCTCTTTTTTCTTCCAGTTCAATCCACATTTTTTTTCTTCCCTCAAAGTCATAACCTGGTTCAGGGTATGCCCCTGACCCTACGGTTCGAGGGTTTGATCTGGACTTTGTCCCCAGAGTAGCCCCTGCCTACTTCTTACAGTAGGGCAGCCTGGCACAGTGAAATTATACTGCCCTAACTCTGCACTTGGGGTCTGTGGTGGTGGGGCAGGGTGGGGGACGGCTCTGAAGGTAAAACACCCGATCTCTGGCTTCCTACAACGTAGTCTTGAGAGATGCAGTCAGTTAATTAGACAACTAAGTGCCATATCTTAGGATTCTGACGGAATTTGCCATAGGATGTTTAGAAACGTGACAGATCAGACTGTGCTAAAGAATGGGAAGTGGCTTCATGTTGAAGGGTTGGGTTTCTGCTAGTGGAGTCCATTGTGGACAGGAGGGCAGGGCAGGGTACCATTGCGTGGAGCCGGGCTTGTATCTGTGTGGGGAATTTTGGGGTGAGGATGAAAAAATGTGTAGAACTGGAGCACATTGTGCAGGGCTTTGGAGCCAGGCAGAAGCACTATTTATCATTATTGATAATGGCTACTATTTATTGGGCATTTAAATACCAGGCACTGTGTGTAGTGTGTTGTGTGCGTTTTAGATGAAAAAGTCACTGTTTAGATGGGCTTGTGTTCAAGGTCAGACAGTGGTAGAGTTAGGATTTGAACCCAAGTCTGTAGATGTACTACATTCTTTGCTCTTTCTATGCGATAGTGTCCAGGATGTAGACAGGGAGTTTGTAGCTATTGTTGGACAGGGAAAGATGAAAATGATTTGTGGGCATTGCTCTAGAACTGTGGAGTCCAATATGATAGTCACTAGCCACATGTGGTTATATGAATTTAATTAAAAGTAAATAAAAATAATCGAGTTCTTCAGTCACACTAGCTATATTTCAAGTACTTAATAGTCACCTGTCACAGAAAATTTGATCGGACAGTGTGTCTAGATCTCAGTAGTACACATCTGAATCATCCAAGGATCTTAAGGGGTGGAGGGGGTGGGTGGGCCCAAGCCCTTGCAGACTGTATAGTGCCTGCGTCTCTCCCTAGAGATTCCATTTGTGAAATTCACAGAAAATTCTGATCGGTAGCCCTGGTTGATAGCTGCTGCTCTAGAAGCTCCATAGTAACCATGGTAATGACTGTCCCTCTTGTGTTGTGGGGAGACCTGGACTGACAGAGATACCCAGAGTGGGCTGGTCTCCCTGTTCAGTAAATGTAGTCTCTTCACCTGGGAAGAGGGTGTCACCTGGGAGACACATGGAGAGCAGCTGCAGTTTGGGATGAGATGAGGATCTGGTCGTTATATGTGGCATAACTTAGCTGCGTAAGCCCCTGAGCTCTGTATGGGGAGGACTGGTGGTGTTTTGGCTTCACTGCCAGGTGTATCTGGGGAAGGCCACATGCCATTTATTACTCACTAGTCCAATTGTTGTTAAATCTGAATTTCCTAAAAAGCCCCAAAAGAATCTGTGTAGCTCCAAAATTAATGACTGAGAGCTTTCTTAGAGCTTCTGACACAGAGGCAGGACTTAAACAAAAATGGTTTATGTAGGATGATTGAAACAACACTTTAATAATGTTGACATGTAGTAGTAATTTGGGATACAGTTTTATTGTGATTCACTGTAGTTTAGAAACTTGAAGGGTGCTCCCATCATCATTGCTAACCTTTTTAGCTGAGATTTTGCTGTAGCCTAAGAGAATTTTGCCTCAGCTTTTTTCCTCTTGGTATTTAGAAGAATATTTCTGTAGCTTTTTGTCTTATCCATTTTCCTCATGATAGCTCGACTTTCCCTCTATTATAAAATAATTATGTAGTACTCTGCCCCCCAAGAAAGATATGTACAGAGAACCAGTTATCTGAATGTGCCTCCCTCCCCTTAGAGGGGTTTTGTTGTTGTTTTAAGGTCTTACACACCTTAAATTACAGAATAATTTACTAACTACAGAATAATGGAACAGGAAGGGGGACCCTAGATATAATCTAAAGTTCTTAAGTGTGGCTCCTGGACCAGCAGCATCAACATCACTGGGGAACTGTTACAGATCATGTATGCAAGGCCCAACCCTGAACCTGCAGAGTCAGATACCCCAGGTGTGTGGGTCTCATCAGTCTGTGTTCTAACAAGCCCTCTAGCTGATTTTGATGCAGGCTAAAGTTTGAGAACTACTGAACTCCTTCTTAATTTGAGAGCTAATGATCTTCAGGTCCAGGGTATTAATATCTACTGCCCATTCCCAAATTAAAATTTAGTTTCCAAGTTTTGTGTCTGGTCCAAGCCTACTTCTCAACTTGGGTGTATCTATTTAAGGTGTTTAGAGACACTCCCTCTACCCCACCCCCCATGCCCACATCGATATGGGTAGGCATCTCTGGCTGGGAAATATGCGGGGCTCTATCCTATGTAGCTCCAGTAGGGTAGAGTTATGTCAGAAAGTGAATGAGCTGATTGAACTTGTCACTCAAAGAGCTGAAGGAAAGCTATACATATAGCCAAATACTTGTGAATTGTACTTTGAGTTTCCATTATTAGTATACCTCTATGCCTTGTCCTTTAAAGAGACAAAAGTTATAATCCTTCTTACACATTCAAACTCTTGAATATTAAAGGAGATGAACTGTTCAGTTGAGATGCCCAAGGCTCTCAACAACTGTAACTTAGCCACGTTACCCATTTGGAAGAAAGCATAAATTTAAGTGCTTGTGGCATAGTATGAACGGTCTACAGATATGCAGAAAAGGGATTCTACTATTTAAAGAATGGAAACATCTAGATGCTTATGTATTTGAATTCCCAACCACAGTATTGAAGCATTAGTTTTGGTGGTGTTGAACAAGATATAGCAGCAATGTCCTCTCCCAGCTTGCAGGGCCTTTGTTCTGGTTTTCTACATCATAGAGTACATATATTCATTGCTCTATACATGGTTTTTCCCTTGGATCTCAAGTAGTACCACACTTATACAAGATGTTTTCATGGTGGTATTTTCATTTTGCAAATGATAAAATCAAGGTTCTGAGGAAGGTTAAGTGACTTGCCCACGGGTTACTGGGTCTGTACCATTGTTTTTTCACAGTAACTGTTTTTCTATGTGGCATACAGACCTATACGCTTGGGTTTATGTTCATATTGGCCAGGGGCTATCAAAGCTTCAGGTTAATGAAATGCTTTTTATTTTGTAGCCATCCAGTCCAATGGATCAGATGGGCAAGATGAGACCTCAGCCATATGGCGGGACTAACCCATACTCGCAACAACAGGGACCTTCATCAGGACCGCAGCAAGGACATGGGTACCCAGGGCAGCCATATGGGTCCCAGACCCCGCAGCGGTACCCGATGGCCATGCAGGGCCGGGCGCAGAGTACCATGGGCGGCCTCTCTTATGCACAGCAGGTAGATGGTGACTCCAGTTACCTTAACCCTTGTTGCTGTCCATGATCTGGTCTTGAGTTATAGAATCAGAATGTGTCTCTGGCATCTAAATCTCTTGAAAGGAGGATAGACCAACTAACTCAGTTGGCTCCGGTAGGCTGCTTACAAGGCCAAGGTTATGGGTACCATCCCCTGTGTGCTTGAAGGAAAACTCCCTGGCCACAGGCTGTACAGATCTGTGTTCTTTGACCTGGCTGGCCTGCTTGTATTCACTGACTAGTGATCTCTGGGAAGGGGGGAAGAAAGGCAGCAGCTAGGCACCTATCCACAGCTACCAAGAAAAGCCCCTCATGCCCTGAGCCCTGGGGATGGAAAAGACCCTTCACGTTTCCCAAGGCCTTCAGCATATAGCTGATTCAAAATGAATGGTTAGGAGGGACTGGGAATAGAAGAGAAGGGGAAGACCGAACCATAACGATGCTAACAGTGCTGTTAGAAATGCTAAGATTTCCCTCATCTCCTCTTGTCTGGCCATCTGCACCATTATCTTTTTATTGTCATTTTTTTGTTTTGACAGCATTTTCTATCATTTATATTTGAGTAATACTCATACTGAAAATGGTGATGGACAGAATATAAAACCTAACTTTACTTCTAAGACTTTAAAGTATGCTCTTAAATATAGAAAATAGGATACTGTCACTTTGGGGTTTTTTGTTGTTTGTTTTATTTTGTTTTCTTTTGTTTGGATTTTTTTTCCAATGAGCAAACGGAGGAAAAGATGGGTAGATATTATTAGGTTGGTTGTTTTTTGTTGTTTTTTGGTTTTGCTTGCTTACCAAATATATCCCCAGTGCCTAGAATCATGCCTCGTACAAGTAAACAGGTAGGCTTTCAGATATTTTTTGAATGAAGACTAAATGAAAAAGAGAGACCGAGTAGCTTAGAGATTTGCACACTGTCTGGGTTACCAAACCCAGTTTTCAGTTGGCTGAGCCAGGCTGCTGTTGACTATTCGTTGTGGCTAGGGTGCAGATTCCTAGCACTTACAAAAACAGTCTAGGCCATGATAAAAAGAGTAGGTTCATTGGTAAAAACAGCTGCTCTTGAACTCTTGTAAGTTGTTCAAATATTAAATAGTGTAAATTTTCTGTGGATGAATGCATTCTACTTGTAAACAAACCAACTAGTAACCCAGCTTGGCTGTCCTTCCTGGCTCAGTTGAGAGAGGGATGGTAGGAGAAACCATGGGCCTTCTAAGTGGGAGGCTTGGCTTGCCTGCTTTCTATACCCATCCTTAGGGCGTAGCTTCTGACAGAATACCTTTCTTCATCCAGAAGAGTCTGTGCTAAAAGTATCCTTTCCTTTCCTACAGATTCCTCCTTATGGACAACAAGGCCCCAGTGGGTATGGTCAACAGGGCCAGACTCCATATTACAACCAGCAAAGTCCTCACCCCCAGCAGCAGCAGCCACCCTACTCCCAGCAGCCACCATCCCAGAACCCTCACGCCCAGCCTTCCTATCAGCAGCAGCCGCAGTCTCAGCCGCCACAGCTCCCGTCTTCTCAGCCTCCCTATTCCCAGCAGCCATCCCAGCCTCCACATCAGCAGTCCCCGACTCCATACCCCTCCCAGCAATCCACGACGCAGCAGCACCCCCAGAGCCAGCCCCCCTACTCACAGCCACAGGCACAGTCTCCCTACCAGCAGCAGCAACCTCAGCAGCCAGCCTCCTCGACGCTCTCCCAGCAGGCTGCATACCCTCAGCCCCAGTCTCAGCAGTCCCAGCAAACTGCCTATTCCCAGCAGCGCTTCCCTCCACCGCAGGTAAGGCACCTCTGCCTTTCACCCTTCCCTACATGTGACTACAGGCAACTCGGGGATTGGTTGTCCCGAGAACTTTGCCATACAAATTGGTTCTCAAATGTGCACTTAAAAACCAATTAAACTCTGGGTAAACATGCTAACTGGATTGATTGAACTAATAAAGGCATAACCTTAACTGCATAAAAACCTGTACCTTTCCTTACTGATGAAGAAATAGGGCAATGGAAAGTTGCATAGACGGATAAGAAATTAAAGATAACAGGACTGTTTTTGTTTTTGTTTTTGTTTTTTTATACTAGCATTCAGAACTTGAACATCTAAGTGAGTTTGGTCTTTTTAAATACAGTTGCTTTGGAAGGCTGTACTGTACATTCATTCCAACTGCCATTACATTCTGCTATTGCTCAAGGTATTTCGGACCCCTTCATTTGAAACTGCCATCAGAGCTGACATCACATAGCTTAGAATATTCTCCATGGTGGCGAGTCCTTTCATTTGTTGAAGGTGGATTTGATTTTAGGAAATAGCTAACATTCATTTGTAGTCATGTCTGTGAACAAGGTAGGTGATAAAGCTTAAAAATAACAATTTGGGTTTTATTCTTTAAAAAGCAAAAAAGAGAAGAAATGACCGAGTGGTGACAGATCCACTAAAGATTCTGTGCATTGGTAGCATTATTGGAATGAATATCTCACCCTAAGGCAATGTCTTTGAAGGAAGCAGGACTTATTTTAATGCAGAGGGATTTTTTTTTTTAATTAGTCTCATTCCTTGATACATAAAATTATAGTTAGCCATACTTCAACATTTAACTCGAAGAAACAACACTCTGTGGTGATAAATGGTCAGCAGTGCCATTCAGAAAGAGTCTTACATCCATTTTGACAAGTCCTTTTTTTTTTTAATCCAACCAACAACTTTATTTTTTTAATTCCAATTAGTTCACAGTGTTCTATTAGTTTCAAGTGTATATTATAGCGATTCATCAATTCCGTACATCACCTGGTGCTCCTTGACATGTGTCTTAAGAGCCACACCTTGTATTTTTCTGCCTTCAGATAATATTGCGGGCAATTGGGCAGTTTCTTGTTCTCACTGGCCCTCTGTGAGACGGCCCCATAGCCCATTAACCATGAAGCAAGCTTGCCTGGTTTATCAGTACCAGGCCTTCACAGCTTTTGTTTTCTTATTTTAGGAGTTATCTCAAGATTCATTTGGGTCTCAGGCATCCTCAGCCCCCTCAATGACCTCCAGTAAGGGAGGGCAAGAAGATATGAACTTGAGTCTTCAGTCAAGACCCTCAAGCTTGCCTGTGAGTATTCTTGCCAACCTCTAAAAGATGTTGGGGCAGAGAGGAAAGCAAAGAAAACTGGTTTCTGGTTGGGTGTTTTGGTGGTATGACCTAAATAAACAATGAGCTATTCCTTGAATTCAGGTTGAAAATTCTAAATAGGAATTTATGGACTGACCTTGTGGAATGTCTGTTTTGGCTCCCTGCCTGGAGAATAAGTTTGTGATCTCTATTTAGAGTTTTTTTGGTTTGGGGTTTTGTTTTTTAAATCTTGGACTCTGCGGCATGGGCCAGGTGAGGGACAGAGATGATGAAGATGTTGGAAGCACTATGTGCTCTCCACCAAAGGGGAGAGAAGTCTCAGGGATGTTTTCACCTTACTTTTCAGGGCTTAATTTTTAGGTTTTTGTTTCAGTGTTTAGCTAGGAAGTATGATCTGGGGGTGCATTCAGCATAGATTATTGCATTGAGCATAGACTGAGTAAAAGTAGTTTTTCTGGTTGTTTTGTGTGAATAGGTGCTTTTGTCTAGTCAAGTGCTTGGTGCCCAGATGCTTGATTGGTGTTTATGGATGGACCGACTGTATCCTGAGAACAGCAGTACAGTCTGCTGATGAAGAGCTTGGGCTGTGGAGCCATTGTTACTCAGTCTACCTTTTGACTCTGCCACTAACTGTAGCCTTGGGCAAGTCACTTAACCTTGCCACGTCTTAGTTTTTGCATCTGTAAAATGAACCTTAAAGTACCCACTTTGTGGGGTGGTTACTAACGTGAGATAAGTTAAAATAGAGTGCTTATGAATATCTGACCCTACATAAATGTCAGATACGATCATCGTCACTTCTGAGGGCATAGAGACTCTACATGATACCTGAGAGATGGCACCAACTAGTTAACAGTAGACTGGTTCTGGGAACATTTGCCCCAGATCTTAGCTCTGGTGCTATATGTAGGCAAGTCAGTCAGACTCTGAAAATTAATCTGGGCACAGGAATAAAATGGGCTGCTCTGAAATCTAGTTAAGACAGTAGGTATCAAACCCTCCATGGCAAATCGTGCTTCAGTTATTAGTAAATAGGAATTCAGCCACATGTATCTAGATAAAAGTCTTTTGAAATTTTGATTCTACTCAGATTTGAAGCCTGTCTCTTCAGTTATTCTGACTTGGGAGAAAATGGTTTCTGGATCTTTAAGAAAGAGGTAGGAAGCAGGAACTCTGTTCATCATGAAGCCTCTCAGGCTTCCCCTGAAGATCTCTGAGCCATGACCTGAGTAGGGCAAGATCTGCGGAGTCCCTGGGTACCTGCTGTGCAGGCATCCCAGGCCAGGACAAGTAGCCACTGTCAGATGGGAGTCTGAGACCCTTGACTTTCTCAGTTGAGGAACTGGGTGAGGATGTGTCTGAATAAGGCAGTCCCTTTTTGTTCCCTTTTCACAAACGTCTGTCGCAATCCTTTTCTGCATCCTGAACCTCACTGGAACGTGTTTTTTAACCTGATTCAGTCAGAAATGTGTAACCACTCCCTCATCATCTGTGGTCTGTAGGTAAATCTTGGTGAGGTGCTACTGTGGCAAGAAACCAAATCAGTGGGTTTTTGCCGGTGCTTTAAGTTGCTCCCCGTCAAAAAGTTTCTGCTTGCTCCTAGTAAGCTTTCAACAGAACTGTATTTGTTGTTTTTTAGTCCTGGGAAGCCTCGCATACAAACATGTTGCATGTCTTCTAACGGTCGAGAGCCTTGAGCCAGAGCTTCTGATTTGACCTGCTGAAGGGAGGGTGCTGGCAGCTTTGTGGGCCCAGGGGAGGATTGTTCCTGGGCAGCCTATCACAAGCAGCATTCCCAAGCTCAGGCTTCTACTATAGATTCATCCAAATGGGTCATTTGCTCTGTGGTAGAAGCTCTATGTGGGAGGTGAGCTGGCTGGGTTATTGGCATCTTGTTTGTTGAATTGCTTTTTATCCCTCTGCTACTTGGACTAAGAAACAAAAGGTGGTTATTCTTTGAAATTTTGGTTTGATGCCAGATTTGCCTAGCCAGGCTGGGAAACCGTCACATCTGAAGAAAGGAGAAGTTGGGATTCCCTAGAAGGGGCCCTCTCTTTTCTTAAGCGGTTGTGTCAGGGATCCCTAGGTTTCCCAGTGTATTCCTTCACTCAGCAGATGTCTAGGGGGCACCTCTTTGTGTGTGGCTCCAGAACAGTAGCTAGCAGCTGACTGGAGGGTAGCCTTTCCAGTTTTCCACATCACCCTCTTCGCTCATTCACCTTACCCACTTAGCCTTAAAAGCATTATGATTGTGACCCTTGATTTAAAGACTCATTATGGTTTCTGATCCTGATTATTACAAAAATTAGATTTTGAGGAGTTTTTGCTCAGCTATTAATGCCAGACCATTTAGCTGCTGTTATCCTGATTATGTTATCCCTCTATTTAAAACCTCTCAGTTATTTTTCATTAATCTTAGAATAAAATCCAAAATCCTTAATATTACATAGGCTGCCCCCTGCTTCTGATTTAGATCTGGAATGAGGCCTGAGACCTTGCATTTCTAACAAATCACTTGATGCTGCTAGATCAGGGATGGCACTTTGAGAACTTCTGTTTCATCCTTTTTTGCTCTTTGCCTTGCTGTCGACTTCCTCTCAGTTTTTATAAGGCCCCATGCTTTTTTCTGCTTCTGGACCTTTGCACAGACCCTTCCCTTGCCTAATACACATTTCCTCCTAATTCTTGTTCATATTTCAGACTACATATTTAAGATTATTTCCTCAGAAAACTCCTTCCTAATCAAGTGTCAAAACTCAGCTTAAATAACTTCTGCGATGCCCTCACGGACTGAAGTCAGTTTTTATTTAAAAAACAAAAAACAGGGGCACCTGGGTGGCTCAGTCGGTTAAGTGTCTGACCTTGGCTCAGGTCATGATCTTGCGGTTCACGAGTTTGAGCCCCGCATTGGGCTCCGTGCTGACAGCTCAGAGCCTTCTGTGTCTCCCTCTCTCTCTGCCCCTCCTCCACTCACGCTCTGTTTCTGTCTCTCAAAAATGAATAAATGCTAAATAAATAAATAAATAAATAAATAAATAAATAAATAAATAAAACAACTCTGCAATATTTAAGACCTATTAAAGATACAAAGAGGGGCTCCTGGGTGGCTCAGTCGGTTAAGTGTCCAACTTCAGCTCAGGTCATGATCTCGCAGTTTTGTGAGTTTGAGCCCCACACCAAGCTCTGTGCTGACAGCTCAGAGCCTGGAGCCTGCTTCCGATTCTGTGTCTCCCTTTCTCTGACCCTTCCCTGCTCACTGTCTGGCTGTCTGTCTTTCAAAAATAAATAAACACTAAAAAAAATTAAAAGATACAAAGAATGATTCAGCCTGAGGACCCATCGTTAGCAAGCAAACCTTGCTGACATAGGTAAAAGCACGTTATATAGCTCTCTGAGATCACTTCCCCATCCTTGTACCAAGGGAAACACTATCCAATATCTGAGGTTTCTTTCCTTCATGTCACTAGAGCAATTTGCTGATACCTCTACTTACTTGGGTCTTTTCCACTTGATGGTAAGCTTCTGGAGGGCAGGCACTGTGTTAATGACCTATCTACCCCTAATATCTATCACATGATGCCCCAGACCAGTGGTTCTCTACCTTGGCTGCATGTCAGAAATGCCTGGGGAACAAACGATCTTTAAAATCCAGTGGCCAGGGTTCAGAGTTCTGAATTGTTTGGCGGGGGGTGGGGCTTGGGCTTTGCTGTGGTTAGAGGCTGTCCCAGGTGACTGTGATTTGCAGCCCTGGTAGAAATCCACTAATCCAAACTGTGTCAGGTTCCTTTGCTAAAATAGACTGTCTTAGCACCCATGTTTTTTCGTCAGTATCTTTCTCAAGTGTAATTTCAAATTTAAATAAGTGTTACTTATTTAACACAAACTCATGAGGGCTGACTGTCTTGTTCCTTGGCATCCTAGTGCCTGGCATAAAGTAGGCTCCACTGAGCAGCATCTATTACATTGTTCATTCACAAAGTGTATGTCTGACAGGGGACAGCTTGACCATATTATAAGATTGTTGTTTTCACTACTAGGGCAAGGCAGGTATCACAACCTGTTACAGGAAAGCCCAAACTCCATGGTAGAGGATGGATTAATTTATTTGTGCTTCCTGACAGTGGCCTTAGGAAGAAGTGGGGTTAGGGTTTGTCATCTGTCTTGTAAAATAGCAACTACTTCACCTTATGGTAAGAAGGTTCTTGGGGTGCCTGGGTGGCTCAGTTGGTTAAGCATCCGACTTTGGCTCAGGGCATGATCTCACGGTTCATGGTTTTGAGCCCCACATTAGGCTCTGTGCTGACAACTCAGAGCCTGGAGCCTGATTCAGATTCTGTGTCTCCCTCTTTCTCTTTGCCCCTCCCCCGCTGTTT